TTGTATGATGCAGATCAGCATTGTTGACTCCAACAATTTTTGGCACATTGACAAGAGGGTAAGACTGGTGTAAAATTGGATTTAATAATCTAAACACATTACAGGTTACTATATCGATTTTCTTAACTGCTTTCATGTTTAGTTCATTTAAAACATTTTATCCATCAGGTCAAAGGAATTTCCATTCTCCCCCACCTGTGCATTTTCTTGCTGTTTATTCCTCTCCTGCCTTCTTGTCACCTCTGCTACCCCCCAACAATAAAACCAGAAATGGAGTTACTAAGCCACATGCCAAGACCCTTGTAATCATTCTTTAAATCCATTTCATATCCTGGGTCTGGATTTTTATTATTTCTTCTTAGGCTGTAAGCTCTTAAATGCTTACACAGTGCCCTGCACTATGCAGTTTAGCCAATTGGTGCTTTTCACTTATTGTGGGGACAGGAGAGCTACTTCCTTGGGAGACTCTTCTATCCCTCACACTCAAGGACTGACTATATAGCCTCTGACTAAGCCTAGTTCAATCTGGCCTATATGTAGTTATTCCAGGCTGTGCTGGGGCAGGATTACCATGGCCCTTGAAGAAAAAGCTTTTGATCATATTTTTTCTCACAAATTACTTGTTCTTCCAGTGGTATCCGTACACTGCTTGTGACCCACTTGCTAGGGTTTTGTTAGTATTGAACAACCTTCTTCTAACACGAGAAAACATGCAGTAAGAATATCTGACTGCCAGGATGCTCTCCAGGGAAAATTGAGGTTGGAAAGAACCTTGCATCTGAGTTCAAGTTCATGTATCTGGTAAGTAATACCTTTGTAACAGTCACCCTGTTGCCTAAAGGTCCTGGCCCAGTTCTAGGAGTCTTTACCATTCCACATTTGACACTGGAACAAGCACAGATGCACTGAAAGTCACCCCTCCAAATACTCAATAAGTGGCTAGTGGTGCATAGTTCCCCTGCTATTATGGGACCCTATCCGCAAGCTTTCTGCCCCAAGGAATTATTGTGCTGAAGCAACATTTTATGGGCCTCCCCTCCCCAATTAACTCTTCTGATTAAAGAGTTGGTATGTAAAAAATGGCCCTAAATTTAAAGTTTTTGGATGCTTAGAAGTAAAATGTTACCAACCCAAAGTCCAATAAAAACAGTTCCAGGATTTTCCTAAATTCCAGTGGAAACAAGGTAAATAAATTCTCCTGTGGGCTACTGCATGAGAAACATGGAATGAGCCTGCCTGCTCTGTTTTCATTATTCAGTAAATGAACAGGACTAAGCATGAAAAGCAGCTGAGAGGGGGAAGCAGTTCTGGATTCTGCTCCCAGTGGCTGTTAGAAACAGGAAGAAAGCAAGCTGCAGTTTGTACATTATGGTATAATGTACTAGTATCATTTATCTCCCTCGAACTACTTTTCCTGACTTATCAAAACTAAACTTACACATGGCCTTTCTGCTGCAGAGACAGCCAAACCTAGGTTTGGCAGATATAGCTCAGGAATTGATCTTTGAGGGTTTTCATGTGCAAGCACCTGCAGCTAAATGGCAGTAGAATCCCAGCTCACTCCCCAGATGAGTAGCTACTAGAAATTCTGTAGGAAGGCACTTTCTTAAGCACAGTCAGGCTGCTAACAATACAGATATCAGTTTGATCTCCTCAGCATAGGAATATTTTTGTGTGGTTGGTTCCAAGCTGAACATGTTGGTACCTAAAGACGACTTATTTCCATCTATGAACACTCATTGACCTCTGCCAGAGACAGTACTCACATTTCAGGAAAGAGCCCTAAATCTCTACTCTAGCAGGTAACCATGATTCTTAGAACCAGTCTATCCTTCATGGTGGTTCTTCCTTGGCTGTTGTCTTACTGACAACCCCATTCCCTATACAAAGGGCATCCCCTGCTTATACAAAGATCCACCACTCTCTTCAGCTGAGAATTGGAACTTTTTGTGGAAAGTTGTAGAAAGGTGAAGAGATTAGAACCAGCAGCATCAGGGTGCAGGTAACCATGATTCTTAGAACCAGTCTATCCTTCATGGTGGTTCTTCCTTGGCTGTTGTCTTACTGACAACCCCATTCCCTATACAAAGGGCATCCCCTGCTTATACAAAGATCCACCACTCTCTTCAGCTGAGAATTGGAACTTTTTGTGGAAAGTTGTAGAAAGGTGAAGAGATTAGAACCAGCAGCATCAGGGTGGTGGCTTAAGCTGCCTTGGACCCATCTGTGCACATTCAGGAACCACTGACTGCAGCTCAAAGTAAAAGCATTTTAGTATTTGGTCAATGAGTCTGAGTCCATGACCCTGAGCTCCTCACTCACTTTACATGGTGATATCTTAAAAGTCAGCAGCCAGCTCAGGGAATGGTAAGAACACACAGCTTCCACTGCTGCCTGTAGATGGAAGCCAAGCTAAGAGAGGGAGCCAGATTCACTGTAACATGTCATCCTTAACGTCTCCTTTGTGGTGGGGGTGGAGGTCGGTTCTTGATAGTCTTGCACTTGGGAATGTGTCTCTCAGCTACCTTGGGTGCAAAGCGCCGGCTGCAGTGGGGACAGGAGACATAGTCTGGGTTCTCTACAGGGGGTAGTGGGGGCAGGTCTGAGAGCTTCCCCCCTTTGGAGATCACGTGCTGCATCTCACGGGCCTGGCGCAGGGTCTGGATGAAAGACTCATGCTTTTGTCTCCAGTTGTTGTTCTTGGGTGGTTCATTCTGCACCGAGAGGGATGGGTGGTTAGTACAGATGGCAGGAGCTATAAATGGGCTGGCTCCAGCCCCTGCCTTTACTCGGCATCTTCTCAGAGAGGGCCCAACCCCATAGCCAGCCCTGAACCCGCCTTCAGTGCAGCAACACCTCAGATTGATATCACCTATTTAAGGCCACTGAGACATGCTGATTGCCAAGGAAACACATTGGTCACCAGGAGCAGCAGGGGAAAGATACCTAAAGGGAGCTTGCAGCAGTTGGGCCAAGATACATGAGGCAGGGGCTGCTGGAGTTTAGCCAAGGGAAGAATGGGTGCTAATGCTCCCATTGCCATTCATTTGTTTTAACAATAGGCTTGTAAATCAGGTGCCAGCCTGACCCCAGAGCAGCCTCAATTAATGTGGAGGAGCTGCAGTATAAGTACAGCTGACCCCCCTATGCCCATAAAAGATTGCCCCTGATGGGAGCATCCCAACATTGCGTGTGTGGTGGAAGCAAATTGAGCCCATTTTAATGGGAGGAGAATCTTCCCCTTGCACAATATAAAAGGCCCAGGTGATTAGCTTTTCCCTTAAAGATGGCTATATTCCACGGGGCCTGAATGAAGTGTCAGGGCCATACTAAGTATAATTAAAATAGGTATAATTCCATGCTTTTTAAAGAGTCCCATGGGGGAAGGACTGTCCTGCCCTCAGGTCAGCCAGTTGCCTGGGAGTGCATTTTACCTGGGTGGTGGTTTTGCCCTTCCAGTGCTGATATTGTTCCAGTTCAGTGCCCCTGGCTCTGGCCATGCTTGAGTCAAATACTTTCCTCTTGGAGCCTTGGCTCTTGCTGCAAATATTCATGTGTTTCTCCAGCCGAAGGTGGAGAAATTTACGCCCACAGAAGCCACATTGTGCTAGCTCTCCCTGTTCCCCACCAGTGGGAGCCTGCAAGTGCAACAGTTCTGCTCCAGGGTCTTGTTTTAAGGGAGCTGCTGCAGGTGACCTATGGCTGTGTTTCATCATGACCACCTTTGCACAGGAGGCCATGCTGTCCAAAGACATGTGCTCTTGAATTTTGCTGTTGCTGGCCACCAGCCGCCCCTTCTTGAGTCCCTCTATGCCAAGCACATAGGGAAGGTGGGTGTTGCTTGGCATGGACATGGCACCCTCTGAAGACTGTTCCCAATCAAAGTCCCCTTCACTAAGTTTGGCTGTAGCCCTGAAAATGTTTCCCCCAGAAAGCCCTGCTGTTTTCCTCTCGTTTCTCTCTTCCATCTCCACCTGCTCCTTTTCCCTCTGGATCCTCCTGAGCTCCTCCTCTGTTCTTCTCAGCTTCTCCCTGAGGAAGGCCTCTTTCTTCCGGATCTCCTCTTCCAGGCTCTTCCCAGCTGCCTCCAACCTTTGGATGTAACCCAATTCTGCCCTTCCTGGATGGGTGGCTGTTAGCTTTGGCTGCTCTGCTGCCAAAAGAGATGGCAAAATGTCTGTCTGAGTCCTGGCTGCTGGCAATCTCCCTCTCTTTTTTGAGCTAAATCTACTGCTGGGAGATTCAGCCATGGGTGGCAAGCTCCTAAGATGACCTATACTGACCTCTGGAACGCTTCCAGCTTTGTGATGAAAGACTGGTTTCAGGGGGTAGGACCGGTCCACTCCTTCTCGCCGCCTGGCTGCCCACTTGGATGGCAAAGTACTGGTCTGACTGGGGAGACACCTGCTGTGCAATCCAGCAGAGTAGAAGACCCCCTGTTCCCAGAAATCCTGCTGGCTGCTCCCATTCCAGCTTTTGCAGATGTAGAGACCCTTCAGTTTCTCCTCCTTCTCACGCAGGAGCTGCTGCTGGAAGTTATTCTTCAGGTGTTCTAGCCGGGATTGGTATCCAAGAGCCTTGAGATGGTATCTCTCAGGCCCTTTCAATGGAAGACTGGGAGCTGTCACCATAGAATCCACAGGTGGATACACAGCCAGCTGTAGCTGAGCCATTCAGTGCCTGTTGGAGGACATAGGGGCAAAATCAAAGATATTACAGACAAAATCTGTTCCCAAACTTCCTCCCACAAAATCTACACTCTAGAGGGGGCTGACCAGCTCAAAGGACATTAATGGAGTTTTGAAGAGGTTCTGTGATTTTTCTGAACTCTGTGAACCTTTCCTGAGCTGCAGGTCCTCATTGCTGCCTCTCCTGGTTTTACCGTATGTACTTAGAAATAAATTTCTTCTTTGGGTGTGTCTGAACTACATGGCTCAGTCGATGGAGCCATGTAGATTAGGCTGATCGGCAGAGGGAAATGAAGCTGCAATTTAAATAACCACGGCTTCATTTAAATTTAAACTGCTGCTGCGCTCTGCCGACCAGCTGATGATCAGCTGTTTGTTGGCAAAGCGGGGCAGTCTGGACGCACCGCTGTCGACAAGGAAGCCTTTGTTGACCAGCGCAGGTATGCCTCGTGAAACAACAGGAATGTGTTCACCTAGCAGAGAAGTCTGCTACCTAATAAGATCTGCTGTTTTCCTACATATTTCTCCTTTTAGAATTTGTAAGGCTAGATAGAAAAGCAAATATTCTTTGGGTTCTGCCAACACAAATGTTCTAGAGTCAATATACAGAAACCTCCAGAATCATGCTCCAGTGCAGCAGGCTCTTCCACAGGACACAGCCTGAGCAGACAACTTGAGGTTCCTACACAGCAAGGCCCATTATTCCTCATCACAAATTAGCAAAAGTCCCTGCACTTGGGGTGTAATTTAAACTAAATGTACAGCAGATGATGAAGATATGTAGGTTTTGGGCTGCGCAATGCTCACGTAAATGTCATTATGGGGGGGAGGTAATTTATTTGCAGTCTAATCCCCAGCTGCTGAAAAGGTTGTTAGAATTCCAGAGGCATATCCACCAGACTGCAACAAGTTTAAGACAGGTACTACTGGCAGTTGTGCGTTCACTACCACTAGACTGAAGTCATGTGATCAGGTGTGCTTAAAAATCACACTTATAGCACTATCATAGAGGTACAAACATCCACCATTTGCTTTATAGGTATCAAGGAGTTTTGCCAAATTGGACAATAGGTTACAGATGTTTTTAATTGAAATGAAAACAGTTGAACAGATAATGGGTTAGAAGGGACTGTGACAGCAGCAGTAATTTAGTTGAGATGAAAAGCAGTAAGGGAGGAAGCTCTTGACTGGGCACTTGATTGAGTTTTGAGTGGGCTAGTGTCTAGGTTAATTTGCAAGCTCTGGACTCAGTTCTACCTTCTAATTATTGTGCTTTGATAGAACTTATAGTGCCCCTGTTTTGTTTTAAATTCAAACACACTGGAGCTTCAGGAGCTGGGTTCTGAGGTCAGTCAGCAGCACTGTTTGTGGTCCTTTTTTGTGATCAAATGGCTATTCAAATGAGAATAAGAAACTGATATTAGAACTCACCAAATCCTAACGGCACATTACAAACTGCTGAGCGTGGGACAGGTTTGCAGGGACTCTTGTCAAATTAAACAGCATGTATGTATTGTTCTAACACTCCTTTATCTTATCAAACAGCCCTTGAGCTTGCTGAAGCTGAATGAATTTTTTGCAGTTGATTGTTTTTATAGCCCTTGTCTCCGCCCACGTACTGAAAAATCAAAGAGGTCACGTTCTCTGATGCGACATGTCCGTGTCCCAGTCCCAGTCAGACACTGAGGCAAAGTCTCATCTTGCTCCGCGAGAGGTGGCTGAGCTGGACCTTGACCCAGTTAGGCACCTTCCTCCTTTTCGCTTGGGGAAGTCGCTCTCGGGGGGTGGTGGTTATCCCCACGTCCGCAAAGAGGAAGCAACGCTGGCTTTCCTCGCGGAGGCGGGGCCGCTCAGGGACCACGGGGCGCGAGGCTGCCCAGACACGAGCTGACAGCCGGCACCCACCCCCTGCCCTGACTCCCGCCCGGGGAAGGTGCTGCCCTCGCGCACCCCTGAGGAAACAAACGCCCCGCCGCCCTCCTCACCTGGGCCTCCGGCAGCGCTGGACTGCTTGGGCTTGCGCACTGACTGTTTACTACAGTTGCTTGGAAACCAGCACGCCAACGCCGTCTCCAGGGTCGCGCTGGCTTCCGGCTGAGTCGGCCTCTCTGGCACTCGGCTCTCTATGGTTCTAGCTAGGGCCCGCCCGAATGCGCTTGATAACCGTTCTGCTCCGCAGCCGGACTCCGCTCTATGGTCTGGGGCCGCTCTGTTCCCGCTTGGAGGCGGCGGAGGCCGAAGCGCGCTGCGGCCGTTGGGGGGCGTTAGGTCTCGCTCTGGCTGCAGGCCCCCGGCTGGTGAGTCCGGCCGGACCGGGCCAGAGGGGCTCGGACCCCGGGTCGCCTCCCTCGCTTTTCGTGAAGTTGCTGGTGGAGATGGGGACAGGTGGGCGGAGCCAGGACGCTGCCCGGGGCTGGCAGAGGCCTAACCCCGCCCCAGGGCACGGCAGGGAGCCCGGGATGCCCTCTGCCTTGCGCCGGGCGGCTGCCCATTGGCTCCTTCTTGGACACGGGTCGTGGCACGTTAGGGACCCAATAAGGCGCGGTCTCGGCCCGCCGGTCCTGTCCTCTCCCCGAGCCATGCAATGCAGCCTCTGCGGGGTCCTGCGGGAAGCCCGTCCGACACGCGAAGAGGAGGAAGGTGGGGTCATTCCCCTTGGGCTCTACTAATAGTCGCCACTTTATTTTTGTACCAGGTGCGCGTGACCATGGCTGAGGACGACAGCCTCATCTCTGTGGACTATGAGATCTTTGGAAGAGTCCAAGGAGTGTTCTTCCGCAAGTACACCCAGGTGTGTCTGCTGCAAGCGCTGGGGCAGAGGGCAAGGCTGACAGCTCAGCCAAGATGGGGCTGCTCAGGCACCTTGATCTAGTCACCACAGAGGCCTTGGCTGTACTGAAGTCCCCTCTGCATAGGCTGGCCGTTGTGTCACTGGTCTTGCGGTTTTGATTCATCACATTTTGGGGTGAGGAATGGGGTGGTCCCGGTGTGACTTGCTGGGGACTTCTCACTAAATAAGTACAGTCCATTACATTTCAATTCCTAGAGTACTGTCTTGGCACTGGAATGGTGGTCTAGGTATTGCTGTCCTGTTAGAAAACAAAAGCTGAGTAGAATTTTGTACTTTAATGAAAAAGATTAACATTCAAGGCTAAAGTCTTTTCCTTTTTGAATCTCCCATACTGTGGAGTCACCTTCCCCTCTTCCTGGTCAGCCAACATTCTGTTGTGGTCTCCTAATGGTCTCCATCACAGGCTCCATCCTGTCAAAGTTCTAGAGGTTTTTGTGAGGTTTCTGAGTCATATGTAAATCTGAAACTGAGTCAGGAAAGCCTTTGCTGAGTTACTAGCATGACTTTTATACCCACAGTTGTGCTTTGTTTGGGCTCTAGCTGTGGACAGTGCCAGGGTTGAATTCCTTAGAGATAACTCAAAGGCTGTATTGCATTTTCAATTGAAAGGTGTTACAATAGCTGAATTAATCCCACAGTACATTCTGTCTGGCTTCAATGGTATCTCTTATAGATGGCTTGTCTATGGTCCTGACAGAGGATTAATTCCAATATAAAGATGGTCTGTAGTCCACCTTCAGTTCAGACTAACCTTATCTTCATCTCATATTTCCTTTTTTTAGAATGAGGGTAAGAAGCTGGGGGTGGTTGGCTGGGTCCAAAACACGGAAGATGGCACTGTGAAAGGACAAATCCAAGGCCCCATTGTCAAGGTACGGGAGATGCAGGAATGGCTCAGGAAGAAAGGAAGCCCAAGATCCCACATTGAACGAGCAGAATTCCGCAATGAGAAGAAGATTTTTGCACTAGAGCACAAGAACTTCAGCATTGTAAAATAACTAGACTGAAAGCCAGAAAGCGCTGAGAAGGTGGTTTACCACTCAAAAACTTCCCCACCATCTATACTTGTTTAGTCAGTATCCAAATCTAGAGAGCTCTTAGTTTTATTTATCTTGTTACTGTTCTAATTTATTGTCTGTTTAATATACTATTTAACCGTGAACCTTCACAAATGCCATGGGTAAGAAACAGGCAAACTGGAAGATGAGGCTGCCTTTAATAAAGGGATTGTTTGGAAACCCAAGCTCTCGTATCTGAATTTATTTGCAACCATTCAAACTTATTTTGCATATAAGAGATCACACAGCCAGTAAAGTTTCCTATCACATCTACCTCTCAGAAGTCATATAACTAGCCTTGGAATTGATACCTTGGAAGGTAGAACCATTGAATTTTGGCTTCTTCTAATATTAAACACTGTTAATCATTTATCTCTGTTTATTTTTAAAATTTCCAGTTCTCAGAAACAGGTGCCTTTTTGAGCTGTTTTATCTTCCATCCAGCAATGCCTGTATTTGGTAGTTCTGTTCTATTGGATGCCATGCATGTACTTTGCACCAGCATCTTATGTTTTGAGTGATAGCTGGCCAACCTTGGAAAGCTTTTAGTGGTACTGCAGCAACACAGCCAGCAAGGAGTATTGCTGTTATTTCTAGTGGAGTTTTCCCACAATTTATGAATGAATATACAGCTGGTACAAAATAAAAAGCCCTAGAAAATGAAGTCCTCTGTCTAACCCCTCAGATTGGTACAGCATATTCAATGCTTTGCTAATTCTCCAGGAGGGAGAGGAGAATTCAATCTGTAGCCAATTCAGTTTTTAGGCTGTGTACTAAGACTGCCAATAAAGTCGTTGATTAAAACAAATTGTGGTGGTGGGCTTTTTGTTTAGCTTTTTTTTGTCCTGTGGACTCTTGGCTATTGGCAAACAGACCTACCAATTCATTTCACAGTGGAGCTGCCATAATGGGTTTGAAATAGGACCCTCTTCTAAGGGCTATAGTATTACTATTATTTGGCATGCATCACTGTGCCCACATATCTATACTAGTGAATTAATCACTGGAGCTAACAACATAAGCTACCAAATCAAAAGGTCATTTGACTGCACATCCAGTAATTTGATCTATGCCATCAAATACCAGCAATGCCCCACTGCTATAGATATTAGACAAACTGGACAATCTCTGTGGGAAAGAATCAATGGAAACAAATCAGATATATGTAAAGGTAACATACAGAAAGCTGTTGGGGAACATTTCAATCGTTCTAATCATAGTTTAAAAGATCTTCAAATGGCTGTCTTGTCACAAACCAATTCTACTAGCCAGATATACAGAGAAGCATTGGAATTAGAGTTCATCTGCAAATTCAGTTTGCATGCTAATGGATTTAGTCATGATGAAGGCTAGCTGGGGCACTTAACTTTCAATAGAGGTGAAAACAGCTCTTTGTGTAGATTCCTATGTCAGGAAGGATACTATCAATTGACTTTGATTCTTATCTGCTTCCTTTTAACTACCCAATCTTAAGGTACTCACTGATTCCCTTAACCCCCTTATTTTCTATACCCTCTGCTCCCTGTCCCCCTCCTATTTATTTTGGGTCTGCACATCCTAAACTCAGAACTCCAGTCATCTGAAGAAGTGGGCTGTGCCCATGAAAGTTTATGATACCATCTACATGTTTTGTTAGTCTATAAAGTGTTATCAGACCATTTGTTGTTTTTTTTCTGTACAGACTAACTTGGCTACCCCCTGAAACTGTGTAATCATTGTATGCCATTGTTATTAGTTCATCCAGTAATACTGAATCATAAGATTTTTTGATCCCATTTTCAGTAAACTTAGCCTGCCCACTGCTACTTTTTGTGAGCCTAGATCACTTTGTGGTTGACGCAGCATGCTACACTGCCAGCACTCTGAGGTTTTAGGTACACTACTATATAAGCCATGCCATGGGCTGCTGGGCCTTCTGTCAATGTTAACCTAGGGAGAGGAAAGAAGAAGTTAATAGGGAAAGCAGAAGCATCATCCCATATGGCTAGTGACCTCCAGTCCATCTACACCCTTAAGGGTGCTTACTAGAGATTTATAAGGAAGGCATCAATCACAATGCTATTCTAATCCCCAGTATGCCATCTGCTGTCTGATCAGCTCTCCCAGAGTCCCTGCTGCTGCATTCATGAGCTTGTTCAAGGGATGGTAGGGAAATGAAAGTAGGCAGCCTTAGGCGCACATCCTGGCCTGCCCCACTGAACAGTACTGGCAATATGCTGCGTTTGCCCAGGAACCGGCGGGACGCTCCCAACTGACAAAATGCAACAGAGGTGGCCGCCATCAATCAAGCCCTTAGGAGACTACAACTCCCAGCATGCACTGAACCATGCTGTAATGTATGCTGGGAATTGTAGTCACCTCCGGCGCGCCGTGGTTCTTCCCTCTCCCCCACACACCTTCACTGCGCATGTGCTTCTGCCATAGGCCTTTCGTCTCCGCCTTCCTTCTTTCCAGCGAGCTGTGTGTCGGTACCTTGCGAGCTGAAGACGTCGCGGCTGGCGGTTGGTCGGTCTGTCTCGTGCCCCGGTGTTTGGTGCGGAGGGGCCCCTCCCTCCTCCAGCTGGTTCTGAGGGAGTGAAGGGGGGGCAGGCTGGGGGGGACATTTAATTCCGTTACCAAAACGTCGCTGCCGCCCCGAGCTGGTGGAACTGGCTGGGAGCCCCCTGGTTGGCATTGGCCAGGGCTGGGCCAGCGCGGAGCCCTCACCCTGCTGCTGCAGGAGGTCTGGGCGGGCTCCTTTACAAGGGCATGTCGCTTGCAAGCCGATAGATGTAGTCCCTCGACTGACCTACCACTTGTCTCCCTTCTCTCCTTGACATCGAGGCAGTGCCCTGGCGAGAGTGGGCACTGAGCTCTCCCAGCCGAGAGCTAGCGCAGTAACCTGCTGGCTCTCCTGTTCTTGGCTTTGCACGGGCACCTGCGTGGTGGCAACTCCATCTCAACGTGGTCCTAGGGCAAGTGGCCATGGCCTGCACAAAGCAAAAAGCCTGTTGGTCACAGCCTGTAGTGGGGCAGGGCCTAACTCAAGTGGGGAAATTTTTGGGTCTGGGCTGCTGACCCAGAGAATAATCAGTCAGAAGCCTCACAGAAGTGAGAAGCAAAAAAACACAAAAAACAAAACCTCTCACTGACATGGCCCCCAACTGAGGAGAAAGGCACTCTTGCACACCCAGAACGTAGAGGGGCCCAGCCTAGTAGATTTTGTGTGCTTCAGCCCTGTGATAGGACAGTGGGAGGGCTGGGGGACAGCATGGGCTCCCCAATACTGGGGGAGGGCCCTAAGCCTTGGGGGCTGGATCCACGCAAGCCATGGGCCATATCTGGCCCCAGACCTGAGTTTCCCCACCCCTGACCTAACTGATTGCACTGACCCCTGAGACTAGGCTAAATACTGGGATCCAGGACATGGATGAAGTAGATTGAAATGGGAAGGGGAGCAGGCAGCTGTACATGGGCTCCCCAATACTGGGGGAGGGCCCTAAGCCTTGGGGGCTGGATCCACGCAAGCCATGGGCCATATCTGGCCCCAGACCTGAGTTTCCCCACCCCTGACCTAACTGATTGCACTGACCCCTGAGACTAGGCTAAATACTGGGATCCAGGACATGGATGAAGTAGATTGAAATGGGAAGGGGAGCAGGCAGCTGTAC